AAACCAGTCTGGAAAAGTCCACTCGGTATAGGAAGTCATGTAGCTGTTAAAGACGCCTACTTGAACATCTGTAGAACAGTATCAATATTTTGCTGTCAACAGTGAAATAAACTATGTCCAGGTTTTGTGGTGGAGTTTGACTTACAGTCAAAAATGTGCAGAAATGACGAAGCCTCGTTTCAAAGAGATTCGAAATGTTACAGTGCAGCTCTGTCTAATTCGAAACAGCTCAAGATCAGATGGAAAAAGCGTGGCGAGAAAGATGCGGCAACCCTATAAAGTAAATTACTAGAGGCCGTTCCATCTCTTTAATGCCTCTGCTATTGTTGGGCGACCTTTAATGCGATGCTATAAAACAACTGAGGGTGAAAATAGGGAGATGAGTGCAGGGTGCAGGGCGAGACAACCGACAGCTAAACTGAGACGCGGCTCACAAACTGCACAGTGAGGCGATGCTTCCTTATCCTGACATTTTCTGCTGCAGCGCTTCATGCTGCTGAGAACATCTGCTGTGTCATGTTTCTACTACAGCCTTAAAAAGACGTCACAGCGACAATGCGCACGGTTGCATCATTATCTACTTTGATATTAAGCAATATTAATTTCTTCTCACATCTCTCTAACACACACAGACACCTACACTGTGTTCACTTCCCTTCTTTTCCAGACTCTGTAAAACTGGAAGTGGAGCTCTTTCTTGCATTTTCAGCATTTTAGGTCGTTGAAAATAGAAACATTCTTCCTGTCGCTGCTTAAAGTGAAGTGGTGAATGCAGAGTGCTGCCTCGGGCCCGTGTGGACGGTGTTAATAAGGAGGGCTGGACAAAGCTAACAGGAATTAATCTGCCTGGCCAGTCAGACTGGATAGATCGCTCCGTCTTTTTTACTGTCTAACAAAGAGACGGCCTTAAGAGGATTATTACCAAAGGGTCATCTGTGTCTAAATGCAAAATGCCAAAGGTTTCCGGGCACAGATCTCGCACTTGTCCAATGGGATGCAACCCTGATTTGAAGTCTTGAAATGACAGCTTGACTTGAATCTTAATCTGTGGCTCTGCGACACTTCTGTCCTGCACAGATTAAGTTGTGGTCTTTACCGTGCAAACTGTGCCTTTGCGTGCACACGAGGGGCTTGCTACAGATAACACAAATCAGAGCTTAAATAATTAGCAAGCAAATAACTTAAAGTGCTGCATGTCTGCCTCACATATCCTCATATTCTTACTAAAAAAAAACCTCCTAATCCCGTCTTTATGATAAGCTGTCGAGGAGCTCGGACTGTCTGCTGAGGGACTACACAGGGACCAACACCAGGATTTAAGGTTTCAAAGCCACCTCAAATTAAATTCAATTAAATAGAGTAGCTGTGTAAATCTCAAAGCTCTTGTGTGCTCTAAAAAGCAAATGGAATATAAGTGGCTGGGGGTTATATGACTGCCTCCAAAGGCCAGACTACCAGTGACCCAGCCAGAGCCTCGTAACTCATCCAGCTGCACCGGCCTCCACTCCAATCTTGTATCGTCGGGACTCGTTTTCCTCCACAGTGGTATTCTGAGATGCTGTGAGAAGTGAGGGATCGGCCTCCTCAGGACACCACTGAATGTCCCAGTCACTCCCAGTTTCTTCCCGGTCTGCATCACAGCCAGTCGTGGAAACAACAGCAGGCTTGTGAGGCAGCGCATCGGGTCGGGTCTGAACCATCGGCCTGAAAGCCCGACTCGCTGCACAGAGCCTGAGGCTGTCATTCACACCCTTCTTGTGTTCAGCACCCACTGAAACTTAATCGTGCTCTCCTCGGGGTCTGTTTGCACTTGGATCTTGGCCCGTAAGTGTGTCTGACAAAAACCAGATCTCTGTACGTTTGCCTATTCCACAATACAGAAATGTGGAAATTGGAGAAATCTGAACTGTTAGCAGCGCTTTGATGATCCTTAGGCAAACGCACCACATTACAACGCTGAAAATGCTGAAAAAGCATTTCAAGAGCACTTAAAAGGATGGAAAAGCTGAAGGGTTCATGGATAGGTTGCTTACATTACAGAACATTTAGTGTAAAATCAGTCGCAGCACAGAAATCTGTCATTTAAGTCAGACAGTATGACACTTCTCCAGTTACTCCAGCCCCACACTGAGATCTTTCGACGCGCAGCAGCTCGAGTCTCATATAATTGCTTTGTTCTCAAGCTGTTCCTCCTCACAAAGCGGTGGCATTAAACATTCAAGTCTTGTGTAAAACATATTGGCACTAAATCTATCAAACCCAGAGCCTCGTGTAAAAGAACAGACACGCTGACGTCTCTCTGCGTCTGTGGTTCTTACAATCATCTTGGATAAGTCAAACCCAGAGTTTATGTGTGTGTGTGGTTCGATCTCGTACACGAGTGATTAACAGAAAGCGTCTCTGACACTGCTGCTGTGCCGCCTGCAATTTTCCCATCATTGTTGCACATCAGAATAGCGCCCGGTGTCTCGAACGGTCACCCTGTGTGTCTGTGACAATGCTTTAGTGATCCACACAAACGCACGCTACAGCAGTGTTGGTACAAAGACCTTTTGATGATGGTCGGGGGGACGGCATCGCTCTGGCTCAGTGCTGCCTGCACGCCGCTGCCTCTGCAGCGAGCAGCCCCTCCCTCTACAACTCTCTGCTCTCATTCAGCTCCTCTTGAAATGGTGGAGAGAATCGTTTCTAAAGTGTGTGTGTGTGTGTGTGTGTGTGTGTGTGTGTGTGTGTGTGTGTGTGTGTGTGTGCTCCTCTGTGAGAGTGCGCTCATGCTTGCTTAATTGACATTAAGATCTGGGAGCTGGGATGAGCTTTGGGTACCTGCTACTGAAGGGATTTGAAGGAAGAAAAGAAGCAGACAGAGGGAGAGAGAAGAAGCCGATGGATGATGGGAAAGAAGGACTTGCTCGCGGAGCTGACACTTTATTTTAGTAAGATAAAATCGAATAAACGTTACCAATAACAGGCATCTCCAGTGATAATTATTAGATCCATCACAGAGCTCTATGTAATCCCCCCCATGTGCTGTGCTGCCAACAGATGCGCTGCTTCCACCTCCTTTTGCTACTGCAGCATCGCTCACACTCCAGCAGAGAGACAGAGGAGCAAAATGGCAGATTAGCTGATGCTGTATCAGTCGGGCCACATGGTCCTTATTCTGTGTGAGGGTCTGACTCACATGTTGCCCACGCATAATGCAAAACTGTCCGGCAGCATTCAGGTGGCAAACGCTGGGAAAGGACCCCCCCCCCACATGCTCTAAACACAGCCTCTCTCCAGTGTGAGTTAGCCAAAGATGCTGCATCCACCACCCCTCCCTAGCACTATCATTCCCTTTCCTCCCTATTACCACTTTCTCCTCATCCCTCTCCACTCACTCCTGCACTTGCACAGCAAGCGCTCTGAGATCCTCGGCTTTGCAGAGGATTTTCTTCCCCGACTCTGCATGCGAAAACTGTCAATATCCGACATGGGATCATGATGGAAATGACAGAGACAGATAGGACCGCTCCGGAGCTCCTTATTAAAAGGTTTCCTCTGAACAAAACATAAGGAGGTTCATCTAGTAAGAGGGGGGTGCTGAGTCACCCATGACAGGGGATGAGGATGTGGCTTCTTGGGCTCTTTGTGCTCTTACTGGCTTGTGCTCCAAGATGTTAAGATTAGATATGCCACTGTGCATCAATACATTCTTGGTGTGGCTGTAGGCTGTGCGGCTAAAACCATCCTGTCTTGATGATCGGCCAGGCGCCCAAGGCTCTGTGGCTCTATAGTTGACAGACTGGCCCTAAAGCCTTGGGGATGATGACTGAATACACACTGTCCTGTTTGAATTGGCCCCTCCTTCTCTGTGCCAGGGGCTGCCAGCTGCTTTAGATATGATAGGGTTAAAAAAAGTTAAGTGTCCCAAATATTTTCAGGTGGACGTTAATGTGTGACCATATCAAGTAGTCAGCAGCAATAGAAAGCTGCCCTTTAACCAGGAAAAGCCTTCTACGCACAGAAGAGCCTTCTCTCCCATTCAGCACACTTGCCTCTATTCTCGTGCTGCAGCATTATATTTAACCCATTCAGTGCCGCCACCTGAGCGAGCAGCACGCTATAAAGATTCAGCTTTATGATGATAAAGCAGGCATGAGGAGAAATGTTGACCTGGTCTGATGTAACATTCAAACCGAGCTTTAAAGTAAATACAGAATCATTACTTCTTTTATTTAGAAGCTTTAACAAAACATAGTTAAAATATCTCATTTTGTTTTAACGTCTAATATGCCAAACAGTTTATCAAGCTCCTTATCAGTTTCACATCACTACGGCCTTCATTTCCATCTGCGCTGCGTTTTAATGAAACGCGCTCTGGATCTCCGCTCAGAGCAGCGAGGAGCTGCGGACACGCAGACTAACAGGATTAGCAGCACATGGCCTCATCACGGCCTCACACCTCGAGCTGGACCCGGGCTATTAGCTGCTGGACTAAATCGCTCCAAGAACCAGCGATGCTTCGCAGTGACACACACTCACTCTCTTCCCTGCTTGTCTCCCAGGCACTGTTAAATGCCTCTGACACATCAGCGACGTCGCGCTCGGTGCGTAAGCCTGTTGGGGCGGGCTCGGCCCGTGGACGGAAAGCCGATCGCCTTAATTGATCGATCCTCAATAATCTAGAGACCGCGAGGAGGGAGAAAAGCCGTTTAGGTCAAGTCTTTGTTGAGTGACAGAGAAGGCGTGTTTGATTTAATCACCGCTGGCAGGGACCAATCTATAGCAATGAAACACAGCACTGTGGTCTTAACAGATAGCCCACTGCGCTCGGGCATGCCCATTGTTCCGCCCGTCTCCGCTAAGGTAAGGCTGGTCGCTCCGCGAGAGTGGAGCAGCCCACGGACAATTAGCGCACAATCACTTCAGAGAAATACAGACCGGCGCTCTACTTTCTGTCAGATAAATGATAAAAACATGCTGTGATTTCAACGAAACAGAGTAGGCAGCTGTCTTACCGGCTACGGTGTATCTATCCATGTAATTGAGGACGTTCCCAAAACTGAGGATCCCGGCGGCGGCGGCCGGTGAGCGGCATTTCAGCAGCGCGGCGCGGAATTTCTGCCCCGGTCTGCAGGGGTGAAGGTCCGGGTTGGATTTCAGTCCGGGACTCATGCTGCCCGACAGCGTGCGCACCTCATCCGAGCTGCTGCAGCCTTCAATCTCGCATCCATCGCTCTCCACGCACATTTTCTGGCACGAAAGATCCAGCGCAGAAGAAGAAGGCAGGAGAGAGCGAGGGAGGCTACGGAGTAGGAGATAGTTGACGGGGACCGCACTCAGCGAGGCTCGGAGATTTCTGGTGGAATCAGTCGCAGTGGAAGTGTTGTCTTAATTGCTGAAGCGCAGGAGCAGCTCTTCTCGGAATCATAATTTCTCTGCCAGTGCGAACGGACAGCCTGTGCGCGCCTCACTTTTTATTTTTTTAAAGAGGAGGGAGATCTCCTCGTTACGCTCCGCCCCCCCACCTCCCAGAAAACCTGCAGCGAGCGATGGAGCCGCACCTGACACGCTGTTATTTCTAAGAGAAGCTGGGAAGGATTTTATGTCTTTATTTATGTCTTTATTTCACCGCATGGATGAGAGAGCAAAACCAGGTTTCTATTTAAATGTGTCAGTTATTATTACTGAATAGTTATTGCTAATAAAAGTAGGTCAGCGAAGAATGTTGCACAGATATATTTCGGGCTCTACATAACCGCCCCGGTGTGCTATATGTTCATTCAATGGTCCTACAATAAATGCGCATACTGATATTCCAGGTTTGTTTTTGTGTTTCTTGCTTGTATTTGTTTCTAACGTGTCAAAAAAAGATCGACTTAGTTCCGATCGCCATTAGCTGCCAGGTATTTGAGATATGTTCATGTACATAACAGCCACAGATATGGAAAGCTGCATGCTTACTGGAAGGAAAGAGGAAATGCATTCCGCGGTTGTGCTTGAGATCAGACTGATAATGATTATGATTAAGCACTATTATGATTAAGCACTGCTGCTTTTACTTCATTTCCAAGCTTTTCAATGCTGATTATGAATTAGGCAGCTATTATTTCATGTATCATTCATATCTTTATTATAACTATGTTGTGTATATCTGTTCTCTTTGCAGAAATCTACAGTGAGCACTGTGTGAGTGTTATGATTACATTTTCTGTGAATTAAATTATCAAGTGTCCAGACACATGTGTTCTATTTAAAGTGGTCACCAGACTCAGTGGTAACTGGTTACAGGGCTTCCCCCACCACAAACCCCGACTTCAGGCAGCAGATATAATCCAGCATCACAGAAGGAAACCCCCGTGTGTCCGTGTTGTACACACATTAGACTGTTCTCCCTTTTCTATCAGTGGTTAGTGCAGGTGGAGTTTCATTGCTGAGGCAGGCAGGATGGAGAAATGAGAGTTTCAGAGAAGTCTTTGACCTTTTTTACATGACACTGCACGTCATGGAGCCTTATCCGGCTCGTTTGGTCAAATCTTAGACTAGAACTGTGTTTTTAGCTTGAAAATGAAGGAATAACACATAAAGGAAAATATCTTTAAAATATCCTTTGAGCGATTTGCCGGCATGCCCGTCTGAGTCTGAGCTGCTTATCGTCCTAACTTTAATAAATTTAATGCCGTGCACACATTTGGGAGATGTTTGCTGAAAAGATAAGCCAAGAAGTTTCGACAGATCCTGGATGACACTGAAAATAAATGATTATCATATCTGCAATGAAGAAATGCACAACAGCAATTTATTTCTTCGCTGGCATTTATATGGTATCTTCCTAGTCTGACTGCTGAAAGCACTTTAGATGATAAGCCACACTCACCTGTGCACATATATATTCACTGTATATAGTAGTTAAGTGCTTTGTCTACTTTGCATCCCTGCCTTCAGGCACCAATCATAGCATGGCTGTATTAGCAGTGTGGGTGGAAGATAAAGTAGAGGAACCTGGAGCGTGGTGCTAATGACGGCTCTGTAATCTGTAATCCCACCAGTCAGTCAGATTGTTCTGAGGTTTGCATCATTTCATCTCATCAAGAAATTAGGAAATATACTTATGAGTGAGAGCCAGTTAATGATGCTTTCAAGCTGGTTGTTTACAAGTCTTGTTTATTTGTGAACCCTCCTCTTTGCTCCCAAATAGCTTCTCAGAACAGGACGGGTGATGGAGAAGGAAGCTGGATGAATATTAACATTGGTTCTGTTTGTGTGTGGTATCCCAAGTGGTTACAGAATAAAGCGATGGAAGTCATACATCTGGTCTGCCTAAAGGAGGATGAACAGATTGCAGCTGGCTCCGTTCTGTCAGTTTCAGCAGTTTCTGTACCCGTCTGTGCCCCGACGTCACGACAGACAATGGCAAAGAAAAGAAAAGCTAAAGTGAGAGCAGGAACTGTACACAGGCGTCAAAAGACATAGAGACGGCTCGTTACTCCAACGACAGCTTCAGACACACTGAAGAAGATGCTGGTGCCCTAAAAACCTGGGCTCACACCTTTATGAGTCTTCCTTCAGGAGGTCATGAGGAGTTGTTGCCTAAAAAGGAAAAGTACCAGCGTCTAAATGATTGGGAGAGGTCCAGTCCTGCAGCATGATCCTGAATAGTGTTTCTGTGCCGCCTTTCTCACCATCCTACTGTGTACACAGCATCAGTCTGACTTTTTCCAGGCAGGAATCCCAGCGTGTCCCCACCATGATCGACTACATGTGGAATTTTAGCAGAAAGGTGTGACGCAGGGCAAGAAGACGTTTGTTGATTTAATACGAGGACAGAGCTCAGTGATGCAGTGAGAAGAGGGCGCGTTCCTGACAGGTGTAGTTTCATTGTACTGAAAGCCAGAGAGGACACGGGCCAGTAAGCTGCTTTCTGAACCGGTTTTGTTCTCTGATCTACCTGATGTGAAAGTGAGAGCTATCAAACTAGTTAATCGCCAATCAGCACGTGGGGTCAGATCGCTATGGAGACGATGAGGGAGGATGAATCCTGGCATCAGTGAGGGTGGAGGCTGGGTGCTTGTATGGCTGTGGCCAGGATGTTGTGTGCACCAGATGACCTGCATTTTTTCATTTGTTTGTTTGTTTTGTTGACTGATTTAAGTCAGCTCATCCTGAAGCCCCTCATTAGATTTGTTTTGCAGGACTTCTAAGCAGTCATCCATGTACTTCCTGATAACTTTGATGTCTAAAATAACAACTATGATGCAAAAACTGCAGCCTGACATGCTTATCCAGGCAAGTGATACAAGAGCTGCTTTTGTAATGCTGCAGACTGACATCCAGTATAGGGAAGGATGCAGGAAAAGACCAGCCCGTGGCCTTATGTGGAGGGTTTAGAAGATCAGAGGAGAGATCCCTGGTAAAGACTTGCTCCCGTCTCCCTCTCTGGAGCCCCCGCTCCCTCTTTCATTGGTATGTGTTTGATATGCTGGTCATGTCTGTGGGATCCTGTGTGTTTTTCCATCATGCAGAATGGCTCGGTGGGCCCAGAACTATCTGTAGCATTATTCTACCATGTGGCTCGGAGCCACAGTCACTGCGCCGGCCTTCCTTCCTGTCTAAGCTCAGGGCTGAGCCTCCAGTGCAGGATGGGAGATAACCGACTAATCGCTGCACCCAGCGCCTGCGGGACGATAAGGCCGGCTCTCGGTGCATTCTGAGACACGTGGGGGCCACTAAAGTTTAAATGTCCCACTGACACATGTCTATCAGCTGTGTGTCTATCAGCTGTTTTTCTGGTAAACACATCTTCATGTCTTTCAGTCCATGAAGTTCACAAGAACCCACAAAGTATAAGAAGAAGAAGAAAGTAATGGGCATTATTTGGTTAAACTTCCAGCGTTTGTGCTCATAAAGAATCACTCGATTGTTGTTTTTAATCACTGTAAAGGTTACTTCATGGCCTCAGTCTGCCTGTGTACGCACCATGAACATGTTCCTCCCTCGACTGAAAGAAACAGCGTCTGTTTGAAAACTGTGCATTAGACTGAGCTGAGCAAAAATGAGCAGCTGTGCATTTTCTGTCTGATCATTGTAACCTACGCAGGACGTTTTTAGTTAACATCTGCTACCACTGCACAGAGCTGTAGTTTTGTATTTTATTGCTTTAAAACAAAAAGCCCAGACAGAAATCCCTAAACAACGTGCCCAGTTGTCCTCTCAGAGTCCTGACTGAAACTAGAACAGTTTTACTTTTAAAGCATCTCTTTCTTTGATTCAGTTAAATATACATTTAAAAACAAACAGAGTTGATGAACTGTGTAGTCCAAGTAGGACAGTAGGACCTCTGAATAATCCTTATTTCTTTATGGTAAGAGGACAGAAACTCAGGCAGATGCAGGCTGAGGGAGGGGCGGCCATCTACCAGAACAGAGAGCAAAGGAGTGAAGAAGACGCATTCGTCATCATGGGAAGTAGAACCCAAAGCTGGAGAGGAAATGGCGTGTCACAAATTTAGAGGATCATCATTTAGCCTGGAGAAATAGTTTGCTGCTTTATAAGAAAGCCCTCCGCAAAGCCAGAACATCTTACTATTCATCACTGATTGAAGACAATAAGAACAACCCCAGGTTTCTCTTCAGC